ATCCATCCATCCATCCATCCATCCATCCATCCATCCATCCATCCATCTACCCAGTCCATTCATTTATTTATTTATTCATTCATTTATTCGCCTACTCACCCATCCACCCAGTCAAAGAACAACCCAGACATTCATCTCTTCACCCATCTAGGCATTCATCCATCCACCTACCATCTCAGCAACATATGCTTATTAAACTCTTACATGGCAGTTTATTATTCAAGTAATTGCGAATGTTCTATTTATCTATAGGAAAAATGCTAAGATTTTTATGCCTTTAAAACAAATATACCCAATATTTGGAAAGAGGCTCCCCTACATAGGATTTCCTGCTTGTCAATTTGACCAACTCCTTACTAGGCTCCTACTAATGACTCCCTCAATACTAGGCTCACTGTACCTTGGCTGGCTTATCTGTTGATTCTAGATAGTATGTTATCAACTGATGTGGCCACAGCATTGCATCATGCTACCAAACCAGGAATCAGTGACAGTACTAGGCTGACATTATTAGTGACTATGTGCTAGCTACTCAGACTTGAAATAAGCTAAAATCATCTGAGAGCAGGAACATCAAAACACACACACACACACACACACACACACACACACACACACACACATATGCTGAGTCTCAGCAAATCTTTGGGCAGAGTGCAAGGAATCTTATGAAAGAAGGGGTAGATAGAAAGACCTGGAGCAGACAGGAGTTCCACAAGGAGAGCAACAAAACCAAAAAAAATCTTGGCAGAGGGGTCTTTTGTGAGACTGTCTCTGACATGAACTCAGGGGCTGGCTCTTTGATCACCTCCACCTGAGGGAGGAGCAGCCTTACCGGTCCACAGAGGTAGGAAATGAAGCCGGTCTTGATGAGTACCTGATAGACTAGGGTCAGATGGAAGAGGAGGAGGAGGACCTCCCTTATCATTGGAATGAGGGAGGGGCATATGGGAAAAAGGGAAGGAGGTGGAGATTTAGGGGGTATGGGAGAGAGGGCTACAGCTTGGATACAATGTGAATAAACTGTAATTAATAAAAATGAAATTAAATTAAAAAAGAAAATGCCTCCATAAGCTTGGGCTATCAAAAAGACTGTAGGGTATTTTCTTAATAGTGATTAATGGTAGTGGGCCAGCCCATTGTAGGTGGCACCATCCCTGGACTGGTAGTCCTGGGTTCTGTAAACAAGCAGACTGAGCAAGCCAAAGGGAGCAATCCAGTAGGCAGTACTCCTCCATGGCCTCTGCATCAGCTCCTGTATCCAGTTCCCATTCTGACTTCCTGCCCATATTGCTTTGATGATGAGCTGTTATATGGAACTATGAGTGAAATAAACACTTTCTTCCCCATGTTACTTTTGGTTATGGTGTTTCGTCACAGCCATAGTAACTGTAAGTAAGACAAAGTGACAATATTCATGACAATATTGTGGTTTCTTGTAAATTCAGGACATAGATGTAATTCATTCCATATGATGTTTGGTCTTTGTACCAGGCAATATCTGAGAAGAATCTTGCCAGCCCTGGGATAAAGGGAAATTTTAAAGCGGTGGAAATGGCTTGGGACTAGATAGCCAGGGTGGGTGAGGAATCCAGGACTCTTTTGTTATACCTTTTTCTTCCATCCTGTCTAGTTACCAACAGGTACCACCATCACCTCCCACACTTATTAAGAATGAGCCTCTCAAATGGGGAGAGGTCTCCAGTGGCTTTGAATGTCTTCCAATACTTAAAGCTATACGAACACAACTTCTCCAGTCTTTTCCACACTGCAATGCACTTACCTGGGCAGGGTAAAATGTTGCATTCCTGGAACTCCAGGGATGGACCAAGGCATGGCATGCCACCATATTTGGGTTCTGGGTTGTTGCAAACACGCTTCCGGTTCCGAATGCCCCTGCTGCAGTCCCTGCTGCACTGTGACCAGGATGTCCAGGCTGACCATGCCCCATTGACTGTATGGGCAGAGTATCTCCCAGCTCGTAGAAAGTCTCCAGAAAGGCCTGCCAGAAAACCCAAAGTGTGATTCAGTAGGGATTTTTACTCTTGTGTAGGCTGTGTGCTTTATGTCTAGAACAATCAACTGAACCCTTCATACTTCAAAAGCCAAAGCTCTCTGCACCTGAATGGCAGCCTCCGATAGCTCAAGACTTGATTTCTACAGTCACTATCCAAGTAGGTTGGACATGGTATGCCATTTGGATATACTAACACATTTGCAGTCAGCAAGTCCACACTGGTAAATCTTCTCTTTTTGGTAATTCTTCTCAAACACAGCTTAGACCTGTTCCTTCACAGTCCACCTTTTCAGTGTGATTTCATGCTGTGAAAGGATCAGCATTAATCTCCCTTGAATCAACAGGCCATACAGACAGCAGTTCCACCCTCCCAAGTAAGCTTGCTAATCCTATGATGTTGCAAGCATTCTTGCTAACAAAACGGAGCTGTAGGGAGTGGGGGTGTGGGTGGGGTGAGTGAAGATGGGTGACCACTCTAAGAATACGTGAGCTGAATTTTAAAGACTAAGGTCTTCATATCAGGTGTGCTCTGAGCATTTTAACTTACTTAATCAGACTCAGTCAAAATTTGTTTGAGGAAGATGCAGCCCAATACAATATTAAAACAATTCAGTCATTGACTCTCATAGTGATGTTTTCATCCACACTTCACTATCTATTGGGTGAAGGAGTAGGCAATCATTCTCACAAGCAAGCAAATACCCAACACCCACAGCCACTTCTGAGCAACTTTCTTGTTTGCTTAGAAATGGTGAAGTGTCATCAGGATGTTCTTCTGAGAAAAGACATCAGGAGAAGCTTTCTGAAATGAGCAGCTTCTGTGGATTATCAATAAAAAAAGTGATGGACAATTAAGCCCCCTTTTGTGTGGTCAGAAGCAAATAAGTCCAATTTTCAGTTTTCAAGACAGCAGTAACACGACATAAGGATGATTATTAGAATACAAAGCCATCAAAACATAGACTGTTTGCCTTTCTTTGTACTATGGATGATACTTACATTTTAAAATAAAATACAAGATACATACAACAAAATGCAAGTTTTTTATAAAAACTCATAATTTGTAATTATAAAACTATATAATTTTTATAAAAGTCTTTAAAAATTAAAAAGTTTCTTTTTCTGAATATTTACTATTAATATTTAAATGCAAGCTTTGGTTTTATACATATATGAGAATGGGAGGAATAAAAATAATAAGTTTGGGAAGGAAAATAAAATCACCTACAAAGATATACCATAATTTATTTTCATCTTTTCACTTTGATGCCACAATAAATAATGTTCATGGCCTGTACAGAATAAGGTTGTAAGTGACTTGGGCAAAAGAGTACCATATCTAACAAGTGAAATGAAAACATTAATATAAGATGAACACGTAATAATATTTAAGGATATGCATTTTCCTCTTAGACTTCAAAAAACTTCATAGGGCATAGATGTATTTATGAAATTATATGGTCTATAATTATACTGAAATCATAAGATAAAACAGAAAAAAAATGAAATAATAAATGAACTGCATCTTTGAATTCTCATGTTTTATCTCAGAATCTTGCTTGAAATGACAAGCACACTCTTAAAGAATATACACTTATCAGTTGGGTCTCCTCTTATTCTTCTCATTCTTCTCTTGAAATTTGCAAGTAAATCTTTTTTTCAAGCAACAGCAGGTTTTTATAAAACAAAAATAAAACCAAGACTGACTGTTATCTGCTGCTTATCTTTCAGGTGATGGTATTAGTTCTGAGTTGTACATTTATTTCCATAAGATCCATCATAAGAGAAGACTCTCTCTTTCTTGTAAGAAACATGGAGCTGTATTGTTGAAATGTAGGCCTCAGCAATCTGAGCTATGTCAATACCTGCAAATATAGTAGGTAAAGATGGGTGCAAATATAGTGGGTAAAGATGGGTGCTTTGAAGGTGAATAGGGCTTGATAAGAACAGTTGTTTCTCAGGTGTCCGGGCAGACCGCCTGCTCCCAAAGGAGGCATGGGGATGAGAGCAGCGTGGCCCCGTCCCTCAGAGCTTGCTTCGGACAGGAGAAGAAACACCCAGTGCCCTCTATAAGCACTACCTATTTGCATGTTCCAATAAGCCATCGCCATCCCTGGAGGGACCTCCCTATGTCTGAACACTGATCTATGAAAATAATAGTAATGGTTCTAGGACATTCTGTGTTACACTCATGTTGGGAGAACCAAGTAAGATCACAATCACAGAGTGCTCAGAAATTCCCATGAATGTTCTGTCACAATATTTAACTGTCCTTCTCATGAGCCCATCCTCTAGGGACTCCTCTATGAGTGTCTCTTTCCTTTTAAGAACTAGAATATATTTTGTGCAATTAGATGGAAGTGTTTAAAAAAAGAAAGACAAGGCAAACAAAGAAGCTGTTGGGAGACAGGCTCAACCATTCCCGAGGCAGCTGAACTCTCGGGCAGATCTGCCTGAGGTGCCAACACGACAGGGATAGGGTGAAGCCGGATCTGCCTTGGGCTTTCCACAGCCACATTGAAGGGACTCACAAAACTGCTAGGACAAAAAAAAATCACTATTTGGTCTAAATAAAGAAATATACTTTTACTGTCTTTGTCTACTGTGGTTTTTTTTAAGAGGGAAATCTAGTACTTAGCTATTATTTTTATCTCAACTACAGTTTTCATCATACTCCTTTATACTAAATAAATCTCACATGAACTATTTTGTATCTACCATAAGCACAACATTGTTTGAATAGGGGCTTCCCCTATTTTTCTATTTCCTTAAAGATAAGGTCAAAGGCTTTCTGCAAAGTGGTCAGTCCCTACAGAGCCGGCTCACCATCTGTGGAGCACCCACTGGTTCCATCGCTGGAACAATACCGCATCTCGATCCTCTGCCTCCCCACTTCCAGCAAATTTGGATCCGGCAGGCGAGCTTTACAGGTGTATCGGAAACGCTGCTCATAGTGGCCACCGTTGTCGGAGATGTTGACAGGTGTCCAGGGAGTCCACGGTGTGGTCTTCTTCAGCTCTGGGCATGCGTTGGTGTTACATGGCTGGTATTCCTGGAGGAGAGGATGCACAGAATGTCTTACCCCACAGCACACAGCTAGCCTGTGGGGACTCCTCTTAGGGTATGTCACAGGTCCTCAAACTCTGCCTCCTTAGACACTCAAAGCTACCTTACCAAGCTAAAACGACATTTGTGTTAGAGTGTCACCTAACAGAGCACGTAATTCTCAAGTCACTCCAGAAGAAACCTGGGTTTTGTCCTGTGCAGACAATAAACATGAGACAGTAAACAAATTGCATGTGAAAAAAAGGCAACTTCTTAAAATGTCGCCTTCCTTCTACATAGTAAATTACTAACAATGCTATTTATCTTGTTGTTTGTTTAGCTGTTTTATTAAAATGTTAGACATAGAATATGTTTTTTAGACCCCAGATGATTTAGTTTGACATTAATGACTACTAGAAGCCTTGGCAGTAGATTAGTAGCACTGGAGTAGAGGAGCATCCACACAGCACAGGGCATGATGTCCCAGCCTGTAAGATTTTCTCCTGTAGTTTTTCTATTAATTTATGACATTTCTCAATTTCTATTCCATCGTTTCATGACTACATATAATCACAGGTTGGAGGGTCCTAGAAGCTCAGTAGAGAACAGATTTGAAGGTCTATCAAGACAGACACACTTCCAGAGTGGGATGGAAACAGGACATAAATTATAAAAAAAAAGTCACTGGCACATTTACTTAGGTACTTGTTAATAAATACTACAGCTACAGAACAGGAGGAAACAGTTGGCCTTTGAGGCAGTTTTGTGCCATAATTCCTCCATTTAGCCATAAAGATTATTTCACTAGGAGAAAAATCAACAACATAACGTACCTATGTATGACCATACTGTAAATTTTTAAATTAATGCTAAACCAAAAACAAGAGCTAAGTCATTTTTCAGGACACAACAGCACCACTGCACTTATGAACTCAACTGTGGTGACTGCGCATACAGGATCTGACAACATCAAGCCATCCAAAATCCCAGCATGGTTGACAGAGAGGCTAATGCAATCCTGCCCCTAACTGAGGAACTATTGGCAACTGATGGCTGCTGGGGAAAGGAAGCAGATTTATCCAGGGACCTGGCAACCCGGAAGTTACCCATGTTGCAGCAGTAGATGCAGTTGATGCTATACACTTGTATAGCAAACACCAAATGGACAGAGCAGGTTTTCTAAAAAAAAAAAAAAAAGGAGCACATGAATTCTGGGGGGAAATGTAGTAATTCTGGGGAAAAATGAAAGGGATGGCATTTATGGTAGATTCTCAAGGAAAACCAAGAGAAAGGCAAGCACAGTCATGCTGACTCTGTGCGCTTCTGGCCAGTCTTTCTTTTCTTTCTTATTTCTTGCCGAGAAAGTCGTCCTTTCCCTTAGTCAGCTTCCTTGTGCTGGAGCAAATCCTGCAGTGGCATTCTTAAGTACGGATTTCTTCAAGACACAAACGCCTCATGCTTATTTATCTTTACATGAGATCTTTATGCTTCTCTATAGTAAGTTATTGGTAGAAATTTTAGGTCAAAAGTGAATTTCCTTCAGAAGGGAACATTTCCTGTGTTCTTTTCTCTCAGTGACACTGTTGAGAAATGCACCTGCATTTGGGTTATTTTGAAATCTATTTTAACCTATAAACTGATATATATATATTTTTTTACTTGTTTTAGAAAATTTCTTAGTGGCTTTGTAATGCTTCTCTACCACCCTCCGTTGTTCTTACTGAAACTCTATCATCGGGATAAGATCCCTTTGCTTCAACTTTGAATGTATCATCTTTTCTCTTATTTTTAAATTTCTTTATCCTCCCCTTAGTTTACAAGGTAGTCTCTAATTTATTCCTTTCTGTTTTTTTCCTTCTTCTTCCCATAAATAGTTTGGGCATAGAGATCCAGCTGTCCTTATCAGCACGGAAATTTCTGAAACACAATTTCTAAATGCCAACAAATAGGCAACTGGAAAACAGATCTCTCTAAGCTCAAAGTCTCAGTTGGTGGCTATGTAAAGTCTTTTTTTTCCCCACAGGCTAACCTCTGTCATTCTAGATTAATTTATTTTTTCAGTGAAAACAATGGAATCTCATTTTTTCTATTTTTCTGGTGTTAGGACCTGAAAAACCAATCTTCCTAATACAGGATTAGTGAGTTTCTAGCCACAGAAGAAATGGTCCAGCCTCTTTGCCTTTCTGGATAGGAATTGAGCATTTTAGCAAGAGTCCTCCCTCTTGATTAGTTTCTTTAGGTGTACAGATTTTAGTAGGTTTATCCTATATTATATGTCTATATGAGTGAGTATTGAGATATACCGTGTGCATCTTTCTGCTTCTGGGATAGCTCACTCAGGATGATCTTTTCCAGATCCCACCATTTACCTGCAAATTTCATGATTTCCTTGTTTTTTATTGTTGAGTAATATTCCATTGTGTAGATATACCACAATTTGTGCATCCATTCCTCCACTGAGGGGCATCTGGGCTATGCTCAATTCCTATCCAGAAAGGCTAAGAGGCTGGACATCAGAAGAAGGAGAAAAGAGGGAACAAGTCAAGAGGACCTCTGAAAAGCTCTGCCCTGCAGACTATCAATATAAATGCTGAGACTTATGGGCAACCTTTGGGCAGAGTGCAAGGAATCTTAGGAAAGAATTGGGAAACAGTAAGATCTGGAGAGGACAGGAACTCCACAAGGAGAGCAACAGAACCAAAACATCTGAGTACAGGGGTCTTTCCTGAGACTGCTATTCCAACCAAGGACTATGCATGGAGATAACCTAAGACCCCTGCACAGATGTAGCCCATGGCAGTTCAGTATCCAAGTGGGTTCCATTGTAATAGGAACAGGACTATCTCTGACATGAACTGATTGGCCTGCTCTTTAATTACCTCCCCCTGAGGGGAAAGCAGCATTACCAGGCCACAGAAGAAGGCAAGGCAGCCACTCCTGATGAGACCTAATTGACTAGGATCAGAAGGAAGGAAAAGAAGACCTCCCCTATCAGTGGACTTGGGGAGGGGCATGCATGCAGAGGGTGGAGGAAGGGAGGGCTTGGGATGGGAGGAGGGAGAGAATCACAGGGGGGATACAAAGTGAATAAAGTGTAATTAATAAAGAAAAAAAAGAAATGGTCATCCCTGAGTGCTTGTGAGAGCAGCTCCAGCTACCACACTCTTAACTCATCATTGTTCTAATTCTTTTAAGTAGTCTTCTCTTAATGTTCATCCTGTTCTACACTGAGAAATACTTAGTAGTTATGTTTGTAACACAAAGGGAAATGAACAAAGAACATGCAGAGCTACTATAGCTGTTTCTCTGACCTAATACCCCTGGCCATTCCTATCAGTTCACCCCATCTTCATTCTAATCAAAAGAGAAAGATGGATGACTTCATTCTTCTCTGTGGACAGTAACCTTTAGGATATTGTCTCCTTAATGAAAAAACAGCCCCAGTGAATCCTGTAAACCCACTTAGGCAAGGAGGCAGATGCAGCGTGTGTGTGCTCTCTCTTGCACTTGGCATAGAGGCGATCAGAGAGAAGAGTAAGTCTTTATCTTAGCTCTTCTGTGCCTATTGTGAAGGGTGCTTGGTTGAAAGAACCATATAACACTACATACAACACTGTCTGATGCCTATGCCAGCTTGGCTGGGCAAGTATTTAGGAATTCCTTAATAGCACTGACTTAAAATGCAGTTGAGGGGTTGATTTGTCAATTGTGCAGTTTTTAAGTACCCCAGACTTCAACATGCCCTGTAGAATACTTGTGTCTTTATAAGTTATAAGGCTACTCCCCAAAACACCCAGCTTCATTCCAGATGATGTCCAACCTTTGAAATCTGTGGGTGGTACTAGCATTTGAAAATTGCTTCCAATGTCTTGGTTGGCATCCGTCAGAAGGACAGAATGTCACACACATTCCTAGCCATCAGTATAGTTCACTGCAACAGAAGATCAATATGGACTCATGTCTAAGTCTCCAATGACTGCATATGTCTCTGTGTTATCACCTCAAATGTTTAGGATGTAACTCAGGACTTGGCTCACCTTTCTCTGGGGCTGGATCATGCCTGCATTTGCTTGATGTATCTAAGTATGAAAGGCTAGGGAATGGTGAGGCCAATATGTTTTATCTTAATTCCCCAATTACACAGTGATTCAGTTTAATTGAAATCCCTTAGATGGTTTACCTGAAAGTGTATGCTACAGTTTACTGCTGTAAAGACTATCCAAATTTAAAGCACTAGCACATTATTAAACAATAAAGAAATATTGATTAAAAAATTTTAAGGCGTTAACTACAATTACTTACAACATCTGATTCTTACTATTCTGGTAGAAATTAATAGAAGTAGGATAGTTAGTGAGGCTATTTAAGAAATCCCTCTTAACGCACTCCCTATGGATGCTGTATCCCAGGTGGCAAAGATAATACCATCCATTTAAAATTTTAATCCAGAAATCTGTGAGATACATGGCTCCTCCATCCCCCACCCCTTATTTTTCTGCTAAGTCTTGTAAGTGTAGCTCAGAGGTAGCCAATGTAGCCATGGGTGGGCAGTCTCCATGTGGATTCCTGAGTAAGGGGAACAGGAGCAGCCTCTGTCATGAACTCAGTTGCCTGCTCTTTGATCACTTGTCCCTGTTGATGAGGCCTTACTTAACAGGCCACAAAGGAAGAGGATCCAGGCAGTCCTGATGAGACTTGACAAGCTAGGGGCAGATGGTAGAGGAGTCCCTTTCAGTGGACTAGGGGTGAGGGAAAGAGGGGATGAGGGAAAGAGGGAGGGAGGGTTTGAGGAAGGGGACTTCAATCAGGATATATAATGAATAAACTGTGAAAAAAATAAAATTAAAAAAGAAATAATAAAATAGTCCCAAAATAACACTAAATGGAAAAGGCAGGAAATAAATATGTATATAGTAAATCACAATTTGGTAAAATTTAAAAAAAAAATTAAAAAAACTCACGTTTATTGTGGTTCAGATAAACCTATTCAAGAAGAATTCACATAAA